AATATTTGAGCCTGAAAAAGACCAATTTCAAATTCTACATGCAACACTGCATGCAAGGCAATAGAATCGAATGTATGTAAATATTTGATGAACGTAATTACAACAACAACAAAAAAAAAATGGCATCTCCAACCATTTCTCTCTTTGCATGTTTCATTTGTACCAGAGTTAGGTCAAGCATCAGTTTTAAGCACTTAGATCATTTAATGAATTTCTCATCATCAGTCATACAGTTTCCAAAATGACACTTTTGACTTTTACTAATTATCAAGACAAAGTTCTTTCATTTCCTTGTATGGCCTTATCACTGTGCCTGGAGTTTAAAGAATAATAAATTAGGTTGTATTGTGTCTTTTTATTTTGTGTCTTTTTTTTTTTTTTCTTTGAAAATTTAAAGAAAGCAAATTGTCTCAAAAGCACCTTGGAAACTTCTGGGCATGAGTCTGCCCTCTGCAGGTAAAAAAAAAAAAAGAAAGAAAGAAAATAGCCTTATCTGCCTTTGCCTTTCCCAGACAGCAGTCTCCCTCAAAGTTGACCTTATTGCCTGTTGTACATTTTCAGTTTTATTCTCAAATTATTTTTTAGATAATTACATTTCCCATTTCTACAGATGACTGAAACTCAGCTTTCTGTTGAATGTTTTTATTACTCCATTAAATAACATAATATCGGATATTAACCTTTTCTCAGTATCCTTTTACGACATCCAAACAATCCATAGTTTTGTAAAAACAGAAAAAAAGGGCTGTTCTTTATCTGAAGCATATCTAAAACATGTACAGTTTCTTCGTTGTCACTCTTTTTCTAAATTCACTAAAACAATCTAAAGGCAACAAGCCAGGCCACAAATAAAATGCACACCAGTAGAATGTGAAAATTGTATTGATTTATTTATTGGTGTTTCCCCAAGTTGAGAGATTTCCTCACTGCTTGCCACTGAGAAGTGAGAGGTCGAGGTTGGACATTCAAAATTGCTGGGCTATAAATATCAAATGAAAATCAAACAATGTTTTATTTTATTATTAAATATTATCAATATTAGTGTAGTGATATATTTCGAAGATTAATATAATATTTAATAATCATGATGCATATGGCTGTGCGACAAGTGAGGGCCAATAAATTTATTCAGATTGGATTGGAGTCGACGTCGCTTTACTGGTCAAATCTTATGCATCCGTCTCCTGATGCGATCGGTCCATACGCATGCGCACTTTGCATTCACACACACACACACACACACCCTCCGTTGCGTTCACTGAGAGTTTGTAACGTAAAACGTATGGACAGTCTCTGTCTGTCGCATCTACTTATTTCCCCACATTTTCTGAGTTGGCTATTGAGATTATTTCACTGCATGCACAAGTCAGCTTTGTATATAAATAATTTTCCAGCCGCGTTACGCCTCTGTTTTCCCCGAAAGTATGTTAAAGAAAATGCATTGAAAAGCATTTTTTTACGGTGCACAAACAGCCCCAGAAAAATCAGACCGAGTGTAAGCAGTTAAAAAACAAAAAAAAAAACAATCATAATTGATTTACAAACTGTTAAATATTAAACCACATTCAATACTTTAAGATCACCACTGTCTTTTTTCCGTCTGGCCAGTTTTGATCTGACCACCATTTTTAGCCAATCAGAAATCAACAAAACAACATAATAGTCTTTCAGAGACGTTCTTCTAAAAGCTTTTGCTTTATCTTTGAGACGGAAAATAACTGATAATATAAAAACGAGCAGTTATTTGAATTATTTATTTACTTTTTTATACATCCACATATAATAATAATTGTATTTTTGTTTTTTTCATGGCTCACAACAGTAAAGCATGGATTTCACCAGGAGATCTAGTCCAATGAAACATTAACCTGGGAGCCACGCCCCCTTAACGTCCGGAAAACACGGAAAACGAGAAAGTGCGTTATTACACACATTCCAGCTCACAGCTGAAAACTGAAACACACAGAAAAACATTGCACAAGCAACATGGGAGCCTTCGTAAAGATTGTAATTGCTAGCATTTGTGTTGGCTATGTAGCTGTCAAGTGGAATAGACCAAGTTTTGATCCAGGTAAGTTAAATAAATGTATTACTGCTTCCATAAATCCAACTGCTAATGATACATTTTGAGTCAATCACTTATTGCAGCACACGCTCACATGCATATTGTGAGCATGATAGACTGATGTCAGATAAATGTGGTAATAAAAACAGACTGTAAACAATATGCAGGCAACTTATAGTTTCAGAATGGAATTCTAAAAACGAATTTATTTCTTTCATTGATTTCAAAAAGTGAAATTGTTTTTTTGTTTTTTGTTTTTTTTTATTATGCGCATAATAATGTACCATTTAACTTATTTATACGTGTATAAAATATTATACTTGCAAAAAATTATTTCAACTAGATAACATTTTGGGGCCCAGAAGCCATTGAGGTCCACAGCTGCTGCCCCTGTTGGTTTTGCTAAGACTTGGTCCAGGCTTCTGCTGCTGTGTCCCCCATGTGTCAGACCTCTCCTGAACCAGAGACAAGATCGGAGATGCTTAGCCTAGGCCAAAGGAATAAAGGAATGAACTGATGCTCGGTAGTCCAAAGTTATCTCAGATAAACGTGCTTCATTTGGAAATCGAGGTTCCACAGTTTGGAGGAAGAGACTAGAGATGCAGAATCCAAGTCAACTTAGGTCCTGTGTAAAGTTTTCATTGTGAGTGATATTTAGGGAATTCTCTTATTGTGTTGGTCCACTGTTTAATGAAGTTTAAGGTCAGCGCTGCCATCTAAGCAGGAAATCTTTACAGCACTTCATGCTTCCTTTGTTACTGACAACCTTTATGGAGATGCAGGAGGACTTGGCACATGCTCACACTGCCAACATCTCTCTTACCTGGTTCAATGACCACAGTGCCATTGTGCTTGATTGGTCCATGAACTAGGTTGAACTAAACCCCAGTGATAGCCTTTGGAGACAAGAAACACCAAGACCTTCTATGCAGACCAGCTAAAGTCTGCTACTGTAGCCACAGACTGAGCGCCGTCATTCATTTAAAAAGAGCCTTAACCCTATATTGAGTGCACATACTAAAAATACTTTCCAGATGGCCTTTCTGTTTTATTAGCATATTTATGATAAACTTAGTAAGCTAGCGGTACCTAGAGGTATCCCTGCAGTTGGCATCTCTACTGAGATGCTGCCTGAAACCCGGTAACTGCAGTTTTAATAATGTTACCTTATTAGAAAAATGTGTGATGCTTCTCTAGTAGCTGTGATCGTTCATGGATGTTGTATTCCAAACATCTAGTTTTGCCTTTCTTGTGAATAGAGGGAGAATGTGGAAGTCTTCTTTCAGCCAGCTGGCAAACGGTGCACAGCTGGAGAAAACTCCAGTCGCTCCACTTTCTGGTGCATTTCATTAAAAAGATTCTAAACCATATGAACAGACGGATGGACTTTTTTAGCTGTTATTAAATCATAACATTTTAAAACTTTGGCACGCTAACTGATTTTTCTAAGACCCTGATTATGACCCTTCCGTGACCTCTTTTTGATTTTCTGCACTGCAAGTTGAGCTAGCAAATACTAGTTATCTGCTTTCTGAAGAGATTACAGATGCAATACAATGGCCTGCTGAGATAACATTTTATTGTCTTCAAGGTTAACTGCTGTAGATGTGGGACTGTAAAAAAAAAAAAAAAAAATGCACGCAAGTATTTTCTGTAGGTTGTAGTTTATGCAATGTAGTGAGAGTCTTGTGCATTTGTGAACGCAGATCATTTCTTGTTGTTGTTGCTGTTCTTCTTCTTGCATTTTAATGTTCATGTTATAAGTAGAAATAAAGGTTTTTGTTTTTTAAATCGATTGTTTTTATGTCAGAGTCTCTCAGAGGTGCCAGGGTGTTGGTCACCGGGGCCAGTTCAGGCATTGGTGAACAAATGGCGTATCACTACGCCCGCTTTGGAGCTCAGATTGTCATCACAGCAAGGAGGGAGAAAGTTTTACAGCAGGTCAGGTTTTTTTTCTTTTATAGCAGTTTTCTCTGTCCTTGAGTACTGTGTAGTAATTCAGTCAATTTTGCAAGTAATAATAAAACGGCTTCCAAAAAGCACACATGTAAATGTGACACTTTTTTTTTTTTTAAATGATCGATTTTAGTTTTACATAGAAAATGATCAGGTGGTTTCAACATACAGTAGTCAAACTATATGTTAATGTTCAGGCTAGTCTGTATATTTTCTCATATTTACTCTGTTTCGCTCACAGGTTACTGAGAAGTGTCTGAGTCTGGGGGCCCAGAAAGCTCTCTTCATATCTGGAGACATGTCTACTGAGTCTGACCCGGACAAAGTGGTTGACTTTGCTCTGGAGAAACTGGGAGGCTTGGACTACCTGGTTCTCAACCACATTGGTGTGACTCGCTTTGCCGTTTGGGATGGAGACGTGGATCACGTCAAGTGGCTTATGAAGGTAAATGGAGCACTTTGATGGTCTGTCAGTGCTTAAAAGGAAGAAAGTGCCTCTGATCTTTCTCATTATGTCTTTTTGTTTTCCGAAGCCCAATTTCTTTAGCTACATACAGATGGCCTGGAGAGCCTTGCCCTCTTTGGAGAAAAGTAAAGGGTCTATGGTTATAGTGTCATCAATGGCAGGTGAGCTTAATAGACGGCAAATTTAGATACATGTATTAGGGGTGGGCAAGAAAAGAAAACAAACATTTGTAGCTATTTTTATTTTATTTTATTTTTTTAATTTTGTCAACTTGTGTCCAAATGTGGGAAAATAGTATCACAAATCAAAAAATATGACTTACCCCACTGATTACTGACCTGTATCCCATGGTGGGCTGGTACTGGGTAATCCTAAAAGGAGTATCTGCTAATCTGACCTCTCTGCTAAGATTAACTGGTCACAAAAAACACTATACCAAATGCTCGTGCCTCTGCCATCAGAGGCCACATGGTTATAACTCAACTCTGCACTGGACTCAGATGTTTATCTGTGGTTTGCAGGGAAGCTGAGCAATCCCTTCACGGCCCCGTACTGTTCAACAAAATCTGCCTTGAATGGATTCTTTGGGGCCCTCAGCCATGAACTTGCAATGAAGAAAAGCAACGTGTCCATCTCTCTTATCACACTGGGACTAATTGACACCGAATCAGCTTTGAACGCAGTCAGGTTTGTTAATCATATGCAATAAACATGGACAATATCTTGCGTCGTGATTTGATGTGAAGGACTTTTTTTATGCGCTCCAGGGGAATCATCACGACACCAGCCTATCCTGCGACAGAAGCTGCATTGAATATCATCGTAACAGGAGCAACAAGGCAGTTGGAGCTGTACTATCCCTGGTACACATATGTCATGAACCTCTTCAAAGACTGGTATCCCCCTCTAACAAACCATCTCATCCAGAACGCCCTCAACTACGATCCATAGGAAACATGTTGAGATGGGTTTTTTTTTTGTTGTTTTTTTCTTATTGTAAGTTTTTGATGCCCACATCAAGTATTGCTGGAAATGTCTGATTCTGAAATTCATTTAAATGTTTCTCAGATTTAGACTTCTTAAAGAAATGCACCTTTTTATGTGTGTCAAAGATTGCACTTCCTGATTTTTTTTCTGCTTATCAGATTAAAATCACACTTGAATATGGTTTCTGATATCAGTCTTGTTGTACACATTTCTTTATTTTTTTGTTATGACAGTAGGAAAAGTACATTTCGGTTTTAACAAAAAACAAAACACAACAAAAAAACAAAAGACAAGAAAAATTACTTGCATACAGTTTGGAGCCAGTAAATAGCTTACAGATCAGTTTATATCTAAAATAGAAAGATGGGTTCATGACAAGGAGCTTAATACAGGAAAAATATGTGGTGACAAAGGACATAAAATGAAAATCAGGTATGGTTGCAATGCATAAAACCATTTTAATACGTACTTGCATGTCAGAATAATAGCAGAACGGCATGTTTTAAAAGACTAACATTTGGCTGCATTTTTTGTAACTTTATGACTCATTCACTAGTAAAGATAAAGTTTTTATTTTTTAAAATATTTACTACTACCAAGAAATTTCACCTTGGAATGATAAATGTTGAAGTTGTACATTCATGACGGTACATTGAAAAATTAGGGTATTTTTTTTTTTAAGGTTTACTCATATTCAATTAAATTCTGCTTATTTATTTTGCACCATTTCACAAAATGTTGTTTCACGCAGAACTAAATTTGAGTAAATTTACTTCATGTGTTTAAGACACTGGCACCATATGTTCTCTGAATGTCCACATGAGGGCAGTAGTGCCTAAGTTGTAAAAGGAGCATTGCTGCAACTCAGCAGTTATAGTTCAGGCTCATTTACAATATCGTCATGTATGTCAGGGGAACGAGGTAAACAACTGAACTATAATTGAATTATTTAAAACAACTGATGATTAACACTATATAAATAATTATTTTTATAACCTGAATCATTAGACTTTTAAGTTTCTTTAGTCTCATGATTCTGTTTTCATTTCCAGTCTTCTCTTATATTCTTTAGTTTTGTTCGCTCAAACGTAGCCACACTCGGAGCAGCAGACTCCTCGCAGAGCTGGACCTTCTCACTGTGCCTTTGTTCGCCAAATCCCAAAGGCACCACAGGCTCCCTGTGAAGCTCAACCCATCCCGGTGGTCTACTCTTTTTGTAGTGCAACCAGAAAGCTGTGACCTGCTGTTTGAGCTGTTTTCTTCTGTTTATCAGGATGGAGTTGTCCTTGTTGTATAAAAAAAAAAAAAAAAAAAACATAGTGCTGCTTAAAATGTGTTTTTTTCCCCTCATACACAATGTAGATGAGGTTGTACAGGAAGAGAAAACCCGTGAATATGAAGTGAGTTGTCTTCTGACTGACATGATGATTGGAGGAAGTAATTGAAACGCACGTCCTCTTTGTCCTCGTGTTGACACTCTTGAGAGAATTGTTAAGATGATAGAAACCTTCCCGTAGGCGCCACGGAAAGGAAGAAAGCTCTTCTTCAGTTCTGCCTTACTTACTCCTTCCCATCCATTGTTAAACATGCACAAAATGCTCGGGCCTCCTGGAGAGGGAAAGCAGGGCTGGCCTGGGAGCACAGCCAGAAACACCTGCAACAGATTAGAGCTGCTAATGCTAGGCAATAAATCCTCTCACCCTTCTGGAGCATCTCTTTCTCCTCCATACATAGGTTTCCTTCCCACCCCCCCAACACTTACTGGAACTATATTCAACCTGCGACACATTAATGCATTTCTTAATGCGTTAAGTAAGGGTATTAAGTACATTATTGAGGTTTTCCCCTGGGTCTGGCCTCAGATACAGTGTAGCTGCTGAGGAAGGCTGACTACCTGTAAGACCTGAGAGGTGGCATTCAGATCGTCTGCTTCTGAGTTTTAAAAAAAACTCAGAAGCAGACGATCTTCTGAGTGAGAAAAAGGCATGATGCAAGTGGAGGAGGATGAGGAAGAGCAGCTCGGACCAGGTTACAGAGGTTACAGAGCGTGAGCGAACAGCAGCAGGTGAAACTACAAACTTTATATGTTACTTTAATGTAAAACTATTACAAATCCAATAGAATAGTTTTCATAGAGAAAGTTTGTGATTTTAAGACATAGTGAGATTGCAAGACACACTTTATAATCTGATCTGCACCAAGGAAGATTTTGAAATGTCCAACTTAAATGTAATTACAATAGTCCCTATTCCTCTATTGCATATGTGTCTTAACTATGGACATTCTACATAGTCAATGTCCATAGAAAACAAACAAACAAACAAAAAAAAACATGCTACTTGTTCATCTTTGGGAACAAATTTCTGTCTGACGTCATCCATCACATATTTTGGGCTACAGACAGAAGAGCCCTGATGTTCACACTCTGTTCACTGGCTAGAATCTAATGCTGTGTGGATGCTAATCACAGCCTGCCACTGGCCTGGGAAAAAGTGAAAGATATTTTTTTTAGAAAAGGGAATCAAAAAAAGAGAATGTTTGATCTCACTGAGTACAGCTTTAAATTTGATCTGTTTTGATTTCGCTCCAATCTTTTCTGCCGCCTTATAAATTCGATCATTTACTCACCAGAAAACATATGCAAGCAATCCAGAGTATCATGGATGACCGTTGTAAAGTTTATGCATTTGGTTTATTGATGGTGTTTTAGGCCGAGATAATTTGCAGGTTTATTTCTGACTGAAGGAACACGCCTTTTCTGTCTTAATTCTTGTAAAAAGGCTGAGATTTTATACTTTTCAACTAAACTTTTAATATTTATTTTGAGTGAGCATTAAGTAAGCTTTATGTACAGTGTGTCTTTCACCGACGGTAATCACAAAGAACCTAACATTACGATAAGAGATTGATTTGCTGAGTGCTGTTAGAATGTGTTGAATCCATCCAGCTTCACTGTTATTAATTGTCTCCAGCTCCGAACAAAGCCCTGGAAGATGCTTAAGGCTCCAGAGTGGGCACATTTTACTCTCTTTCAAGAAGCGCGTGTTTTGTGAGCGTTTAGTCTTCCCATAGCAGACTGAAAGAGAAAATTGGTGAATTTTACCATCTCTGTAAGACAGCTGGCCACTTCATCTTGAGTTTGGATAAGATTTTGGATAAGATTATTGTTTGCTCAAAAGTATTCACACTCCTTAAACGTTTTACTTTTTTTTTTTTCCAAGTTGCAACCACAAATGAAGATCATTATCACCAAACATCTCTTTAATGTAATCAGACCCCATGACATATCTCCAAAAATATTTTTTTTTCTTGTTTTTTTTCTCTGTGTGCTTTTGCAAAGAGCAGTCCAGCGTCTTTTGGAGTAATGGTCCCTGTTGGTACACGTTGATACTGACAGAATCTTACCAGCTTCAGTCAGCATCTTTACATGATCTTTGGCTTTTGTTCCCACCGTACATCGTTTTATCAGCAGCATCAGTCTTAAGAGTGATTGCTGGCCACCTTGCTTTGGAGTGACTGCCACTGCTCAGGTTCAGCCAGTGCGGGTTGTTGGATAGAAAATAATAGGGGCGCTTTTTCGATGCAAATCTGACACTGTTACTACAGTTCCATCATCCCTTCAGACTGATATTTCTCTGGGACTTTGCTCTTCATTTGTTCTTGAATTTCTCTAGATGATGTGTGGCTACTTTGTGTTGTTAGAGGTAGGTTATAAGTTATTCTGATTGTAGAAATTGGTCAGTAATCAGGCGTGGGTATGACTAGTCTACACGTTTTTAAATAGTAAATCACAAATGACACAAACCTTGACAAAGTTCAAATGGTATAAATACTTTTGCAGGCTACAGTCGGTATGCAATTGTACCCATCTTCAGTCTGTGTTGACTGTTTTGACACAGCTGTTTTCATTTCAAAAGGGAAAAAAAAGCAGAAAGAAACATCCGTCTAGAAGACAATAGTAGCAAAGATTTGTCTCTGTGAGTTTATTACAGAAAAAATAATCGTTTAACATCCTAATTTGTTCAAACATAAAAATATTCATTAGACAATGCGGGGGGGGGGGGGGGGAGCGCACCCCCCAGAACCAAGGGAGAGCCACACGGTTTTTTT